CACCATGAACGCCTCCCTTGTTCTCTTATAATGGCGCCCACCTGAGAGGTGTCAGAACTGAGTTCCAGCTAGTTCCAGCTGGAAAAAAGCCCTGATCATATCCGAGAACATTTGGTGTATGTTCTACAGCACAGAGAGGGTTTCCATTCACTGCTATGAGGAATAATGCTTGCAATTCTAAACATGGAATGTCCAGAAGGCAAGTTCCAAACTTGGTGGGGTTTTCTTCTTGAGTAAGCCTTTTTAGGACTGAGTTAGAAGATGCACAATCAACACAGGGTTTCTTTCCTTTTTACAGGTGACCATTGAATTTTAAATCTGTACTGTGAGACCTGAAGAGATCAGATGTAATATCTGGGAAAATGACACACGACTAAACGGAAATTTTATAGGAGGACTAATCACAAAGCAGAAATATTTCAGATTAACTGAAGTTATCAACATTTCAATAAGGCCTCAGTCAGACACCTTACTGCAAATGTGACAGACTAAACAGCCAAGAAGATAGCCAGGTCATAGGACAGGATCCAGAACAGGCATAGGCAAACTCGGGCCTCCAGATGTTTTGGGACTACAGCTCCCAACATCCCTGACCACTGGCCCTGTTAGCTAGGGATAATGGGAGTTGTAGTTCGAAAACATCTGGAGGACTGAGTTTGCCTAAGCCTGATCCAGAATAAGACTTGTATCCAATGCTGCATGAACAGCATTCCACTCCCACAATGGAGCTTCCCCTTTCTTCTCCCTGCATGCTTCCAAAAACTGATCCAGAGGGACCCTTGACACTCTGAAGCAGATTTTGTGGATGTGGGAGAGGCCTGCAGGCGACAGCACAGGAAAGGGACATTCCATTGCACAAGAAGAAGTCTGTTGTGCAAGCGAACAGTAGCATTTGGAGTTCACACAAGCCACCTTATTTACAACCCTCAGAGCAAGATGACCAGATGATGATGTACTTCAGCTCCCATCAGTCTCGACCAGCATGGTCATAATGATAAGAGTTGTATTCCATCAACATCTAGAGGGCTACAGATTTCCCATCTCTGCAGCAGAGCATACCACTGAAGCACATCTGCATTCCATACAGAAGCAAGATTAGTCCAAAATCTAAAACTCCACTCCAAATACCAATGGCATTTATGATGTCTGTAAGGAAAAAAACAACAGCAATAAAAACTTTGTGTTGCTTACTAAATTTATTACTATACATGCACCAACCAAGTCATTTTATTGCCAGAAGCTAACTTCTCAATTCATAAGTGCGCTATACGAGACACCACTAAAAATCACACTGTGGATAATTCAACAACACCACACTTAAACTATGGAAGTTGTACCACACTTAAGTTACTGCAGAGAATATAAATGAAAAAGGCAACAGTGGCAGTGAACATTCTTAAGATCACTTAATTAATCTTTTGAGTGATGCAACAGACAGGTCAGTATTTTCTTTTTCTTTATTTGTTGTGTAATGGCAGGACTTTCTGATGTTGATTCATATTGAAGATAGATACCACATATATCAAAATGTTCTAGTCCTGCCAAGGGGTGGGTATTTTCCCTTGTTATCACCATTACTGGAAAAGATTGTCTGTTTTGGGAACAATTGGTTAGCTAAGCTTCAGATTGCCATTTTTAATTCGTTTTTGCCCATAGGGGGCTGGCAGTAGGGCGACCCCTTTTTTGGGGGGAAAATAGGGGGAAAAATATTTTTCCCAGGGCGGGGCTGGCGGTTGGGGGAGCTTCGGTTCCGTCGACCCGCCCCCCAGGAGTCTCTGAAGCCGTGGGAGCGCTCCCACTGCTTTGCTTGAGAGGTGCGCGAGCGGACGTGCTGAGCTGAGCGCGGCAGGCTTCGCTGCAGGCATCTCGCAAGCAGCGGGAGCGCTTCGCGTGCTTTGCGGGGGTCCGCGGAGCCTGGAGAGCGTGGGGGTCGGTGCGCACCGACCCCTCTCACTCTTCAGGCTTCAGCGAAAGCCTGCATTCGCACCATAGGACGCACACACATTTCCCCTTCATTTTTGGAGGGGAAAAAGTGTGTCCTATGGTGCGAAAAATACGATATACTATATGCTCCAGTGAGGCAACTTCGGTGTGAATTCCTGTGAGAAGTATTTGCATAGCGAAGAGTCAGAGATATTTTTAAGTGTGATAGTACATGGAGTCTTCTGTGACCGAAAGCTGCTCACACGCCTCTGATGAAGCAATGGCAACTAGTTTCCATTGCTGTTATACCACATATTAATGCCTGTAAGTCAGGGATGCAGCTTTCCAGATGTTTCTCAACCTACCATCAGCCCCAGTCAGCGTGGTTAATGGTCAGGATGACAGAAGTTACAAGTTCCCCAACTCTGCTGAAAGACTGTAAAAAGCGGCTCTCTGTTTACATTTGGTTGTATACCAATACTAGTTGCCATTCATCCTACAGGTTTGTCAAGTGCAATAATTGCTGATTTTTCCATCTGGAAGTATACCCTACTACACAGACCCTAAACATGTTTACTCAGAAAGCAATCCCATTATTGTAATTGCGTACGCTCAAGGGAACCAGGGATGGTCTGGGAACAGCTGATGCCACAGCAAAGCAGGAAGAGACCTCAAGAATAAACCACACAGAAGATCACACAGGAGCAGAATAAACATTATTAAAATTGTGCACGCTCTGGACTACAAGCTCTCATTTAAGATAAAACCCACATATGAAATGTAATATTAGGCAGCAGCTGCTTGACCAGCCGCAGCTTGAGCACACCTGTGGCAAAAAATATTTTAACAGAAGCATCAACAATACATAGCACACCCTTGCTTCCTACACAGATCTTGAAAATGTAAACACCTTTATCAGCTCAAACTTGCTGCTGCTCATGAAGCATTATGCTGTATAGGTGACTCTAGACTCTGAATATTAACACAAATTTCAACCATGAACAGCAGACAGGTAACTTCAAGGAACCACCCCCAGGTTCCAGTTTCAACAATACAATAGGCATGAACACCTATAGGGTCACCTGTCCCACCTCCAAGAAAAAGATGACATGTTTCACTTCAGCACAGCAAGAGGTGCAGAGCAGGGGTAGAAAGCCATTTGTCCGCAATAATACACCATTGTCTGAGCTTCGAATGAAAACCTGCTGAAAGACCATTAATAAGGCAACCTCAAAGAGATTTATTTAACAATGAAATTATTTCAAAGGGCTCCGATTTCCACTGAAACAACTCAGATTTAATGAGACCCGGTAAGTTTTCCCAGCCTCCAAAGCAGTTACTATTTCAGGTTGAACAACTAGCAAGCCTTCATTGTTTGAAGAGACCAGCTTGTCTTAGAAGTTACACATGGAGTCCAAATTAAACTGGGAGGGGGAATAGGGCAGGAGGGGAGTTTCTCAGCTATAGATAAGTAACTGATCTGTTACTTATGTGCCTGGCCTTTGGAGAACACAACAAGGCTATTCTCAGTTGTGATACTTGACAAATACCTTTAGTAAGTTAGGGTGTGGTGTCCACTCATATTGCTAAAGACTGCATGGAGATTTCAGTTTGCCTCAAGCTTATCTGCAGGGGCATTCATTACCTCAGATGTCAGCAGTGTTTGGGGAACAAAGGGAAAATTTGGCTCAGTTCATGTGGTAATTTCAGTACCACAAACAGTTATCTAACACAATGAAGGGCAGGTTTCCATCAATGTGGGCTGATATTATCATACTTGCCCAAGGCTAACGCCAAATGCCCCAAAACACACATACCACATTGCTCTGTAAGAGATTATCTGCCATCTTGGATTTCCTCAATGAAATCCCAGAGCCAACCTTTGGCCTATGTCAGGGATATCAAACCCTGTTGGACTACAACTCACATCCTCCCTAACCAATGACTATGCTTGGGGCTAATAGAAGTCAAGAGTCCAACACATCAGAGGGACACATTTTCCCTCTGAGTACTGACCCTATATAGGTCAATGGAGTGGTTCAGACAACTAAAAGGCACCAAGATGCCAATTACTGGCCTATACCTCCTTGAGCTTATTATCCTAAATTTCAGTCAACAGCGACATATTGACCTTCAAAGAAAAGGAAATGACGAGCAAGATTCGTCTTGACCTGCTACCAAAGAAATAAAAAGCCACCTGGAATCAACAATAGTCACAGGGGAAATCAAGCCCCCTCACAGAGGTTTGCCAGCCTGCCATACTGTAGTCCCAGAGCACCTGTGCAAACAGCACAGCCTGCCAAAAAAGTATCAAGTACTTGAACAAAAGCAAACCTTTCTGAAATACCTCCAGCCAACAACCGACATAGCAAGGCAATGCTGACCAGGGGCATCGGAAGAACAACAGGAGTCCTAACAACTTACTGCTTGCTTCACCGGCGAAAATTAAAAACGAAAAACAAAAACCAGTTACCTGCCTCCCCAGGGCCAGATCTCAATGCTGGCAACCCCCCCCCCCAAAAAAAAAACCCCACAACAATCCAACTAACTCGGCCAAGGTAAAGTCCAAACTTCATCTACTACCCACAAAGACCCTCCTCCCCACACTTCTGGCGGACACCAGAAAAAGACCCCACATAATTCTCAAGGCCAAGCGCACCCAAAGTGATGCCCCCCTACACGCTTTCTCAGCCCATCGAGGGCACCCTTCCACCAACCCACTGCAACACCCCCACCCCGACCAGCTTTCACGCCCCCTAACCATCATACCAATGAATCCCTCCGACGCCCGCCCTGCAAGGCACTCCCCGACCAGCCTTGCCCTTCCCAGGATTCATGACAAAGCTCAGAGCAGTCTCCTATTTGCTCACCTTCCAGCATGGAGTCCAAGCCTCAACTCTACCCAACGCCAGTCCAAGGGAGCTTCTCCCTCTCCCCCCCCCGGAAAGCACCCCCCCTTTACCTGGCGTCCCCGCCCCGCTTTCTTTGCAGCCTCAGCCCCGTCCCGTCCCCCCGCCCAGGCCCCCCGCTCACCGGGGGGGGAGGGCCGCGTGCAGAGAAGCCAGGCTGAGCCTTACCGTGCAATGTCCCCCGACGCGCCCCAGCTCCTCCTTGCGCCGGCGCCGCCGCCACCTCTCCTTCCTGGATACCTCCAGCAGGGGGGGGGCGTGCCCGCCGGATATGCAAATCACAAAGGGGGCGTGGTGCATCCCTTTCTCCCCCCCCCCCCAACTCTGCCGCTCGTGAATAATTCATCGCGCTCACCGCTACCCGCCTAGCCAATCGGGAATCAGCAAACCTCTGCCTGCATTCTTCTCACTTTGCATCCGGCCAATAGCAATTGGCGCGCGAGAGGGTGGGGGGGATCGAGATCAAAGTAGGCTAATTCCAGTATGACTATCTTGGCTTCTTAAGACGCCGTGGTCACGCCCCATATCCGCCGAGTTCTGGGCGCACCTATCTTGCTTTTTTCCGGTGGAGGAGAGACGGTGTGCAAGCAGGGGTACAAAGGGCATGAGCAAAGATAGGATTCTGGGTGCTGCTTTCCTGGTGCTAGATCGTAATTAAGGCTGCTCCCTTGATTCAGAGCAAGTAGGAGCTCCTGCGAAGAACAAAAACTCGAACGTGGCGCTTTTCCAGATTGCATTTCCTCCAATCTTGACTGCGTTTTCTTGTGTGTTGCTCTGGAGCAGGTGAGGGAGAAACAAGAGAGGATGGATTCGTATTCCAACCAGGAAAGAGATACCGGTCGCAAAAAAAGTAAAACAGCCGCTCAGTGCACACAGTAATTAGAACAGGATCGTACTACTGTTGTTGGACGTGATACCAGGGTAACTTGGATTTCGAATTAAAATTCTCAGCCAAGTCGTTGCATCTTCCTTTAGGGAGATCCCTTCCCAAGCTGTATAATAAAGATTACCACCGTTAATTAGAGGTCTTGTTCATACTAATATTCATGACAGTTCTAACTCTTGATCATGGCCAAATGTCTTTTGTTTCTTATCTCTCTTTTCCACACACGATACTTGTGATAATTTCTAAAGGTGTTGCCCTGTTAACTCTGTTGCAGCAAGAACAGCAATTTGTGCCACAATTTACACCACAATATATCTACGAGTAGTCTTTAAGCTGCCACAAGGCTGTTTATAATATTTCAGATAGTAGTTGAGTTTATACTGCTTGCTGTGGTGGTGAGAGCAGCAGGCAGGTTCTGATCAAGCGATAAAAACAAGCCACATCTTCTGCTTGTTTACGTTAAGAGTAATCCTATTGAACAGTAGTATATTAAACTTGCATCAGAGAATATCATGCTGTAGATTAAAGGTACTGTGTTCACAATTATGCCTGGAAGAGAGTCCTTTAAGAGGATCTGACCAGTTTCTTGCTATTGTTTCTGAAGGGGAAGCACTGACATGACAATTATTTCAATATCTGCTTCTCTCAGTAAGCCTGGATGGAGCAGAAATAACAAACTGCATTGATTCAAATGACACATGTGCCACAGTTGTATGCAGGCTGCTGATAGAGCCTGAACATGTTACTCCCTTTTTAAATGAGCACACATAAATGCATATTTGCAAGGCTAAACATGGTAGTAGTACTGTTAGGGCAGGATTTGGGGGCAGAGGTTTAAGGCCCCATTCAACAAAATAAGCAGGAGAGTCCCCACATACACAAACAGGGGTTATCTTGCCACATTTTGAAGTAAATTAAAACACATGCCCCCTCAGAAACCCCCTTCCAGAGAGTACCAGTGCTACCTTACATCTAAAGCAATAGTCACCAGCCTTTTGGGGTCTCTGAGTCACATTCAACCTGAGTAAAGTGTCATGGACCTCCCCTCCCCCCGCACTAACCAAGCACACACTGCAACCTGTTCTATTGGCTACAATAAAATGCTTCTTTCAAGGCTAATTTGAATGGGTGAAAGGGAAGGAGACCCCTGCAAGAAGGCCACTACAGATGCAATATTGGCCATCCCTAATCAAAAGATGGGCTGCGTAAGAGCATTAAGTCCAGAGACTAAAATTGCCTAACTGCCCCAAAAGTAAATCACAACGTTGCAAGTTTTGGAAAAGGAAGGCGTGATCTAAAGCAAAATTACTGATCTAGCAGTTGTGAAAGTGATCTTTTTTATTTGTAGTTGATAGTCTTTCAGCCCACAATAAAACACTCAACTTTCAAATATTATTCACCATTAACACAAACAAACAAGAAACCCAAAAGCCACGCTGCAGCAATCAAATTACTTTTGTTCATTGTTCTGTATTGCCCAAGCCAACTGGCTTATGATTGAGTTACGATGCCACAAATCAGAGGCTGGAGGCTGCTCTGTGCATCAGCAAAACTAGGGCTAAACAGCAGAAAAAGAAAACAACAACAAGTGAACAGATTTAGTTTCAGCTGAATGACAAAGATTGTGAATTCAGCCTCAGGGGATTTTCTGTAGCTTTCATCTTGGTTTTCCCCCTCCAGCAAACAACTCTGGTATTGTGAAGCCTGGCTACAAGGAAGGCTGAAACTGAGTCACCTTGCCACACTCACCTTTTTGTGACACTGTTCAGATAACACATTATTAAGCAGCAAGTAACTGGAAGCTCCAGAATTGCTACTTATTTTTTCTGCTATTCTTTTCCTGGTTTCATCAGAATTTTGGTCCATATATCCCTGAAGGCTAGCAAATGTCATTCTGTCACCAAAACAAGGGAGATTAGCATTTGGTTTGGTAAGACACAGTGATGTTAGTGGCTCCTGCTGGACTGGCTGCAATAAATGGCAGTCCTTCTGGCATATTTTAAGGTAGATGGTTTTGTATTTTCGTACTGTACTGTCGGGAAATCATTCCCTGATCAGCCAAGTATAATGGGCGGCTCTCAGACAGGGATAAAATAATGAAAATGGACTGGATGAGTGGCAGAAATGTAGTGCTTATTGTCTCCCAACAATTTTGTATAAAACTCTCTGCTGGCATGAAAAAAACATAAGTTTGGGATATTGTTCGACAACTTTGCACATGTGTGGAGAAGTAGACCATTAGAGGTAGCTGGAGTGCTATTATCCATCAGTTACCTAATGGAAACAAAACTGCTGTGATTTTGTGATGTACTATCCTGGAGTCCAGGGCAGGGATTGACTAGTTCCCCCATTATGGTCTGCAGATTTCAGAAAGCCACCTTTGATAATTGTGAACTGCAACACAGCATCATAGTCAAAAGTTCTCGTTTCTTTCCACAAGTTCTCCCCCTGCAGTGGTTTGGTATCAGATCAGGAAATCCTTTGGACCCTCAGAAACTCAAGCCAGAAAAATCTCCTGTGAATTCATTGAGGCATACTTCTAAATGAACAAGGTTAGGTCTGGGCTGTAAAGCATTTTGTGTATGGGAGTCCTGGAAGACCTGCTTCCTGCCTTGCAGGCCTTTCTCCACCTGGCCTGGGAGGCAAAAGCCCTGGAATTGACTCCAGCTACAAAAGATGAGCCAAAGAAGCCAGAGACCATCTTGGCTAGGCATAGGCAAACTCGGCCCTCCAGATATTTTTGGGACTACAACTCCCATCATCCCTAGCTAACAGGACCAGTGGTCAGGGATGATAGGAGTTGTAGTCCCAAAACATCTGGAGGGCCGAGTTTGCTTATGCCTGATCTTGGCTGTCTCTCAGGGCAGTCCCAGGTCTTCGACCCTGAGCTTCCACAACCATCATGAACCGCCTTTTGCAGGAATGGCAGCAACAGCAGCATATATGTTCTATTCTTAAGAGAGTATTTTATTCTCTTGTTCACTATTCTGTTTTAAATCTGCATTTTATATTGACTTCCTTTAGAAATGTTTTCTTTTGAAATGTTTTCAGATTTTTTTTGTTAACTTTGCTGCATTAAATGTATATACCATTGTTGATTTCCTTTGTAATGTATTCTTTTGAAATGTTTACAATAATATTTCAGTTGCTTGTTCATTATGTTTGAAGGTATAATTTACATTTGACTTTCTTCAGTAATGCTGTATTCTGGATTGTTTTATTTGCAGTTTTAGTGTGTTGCAAACCACTTTGAGATTTTTTTCTTAAACATATAAAGTAGTATAGAAATAAAATGAAGAGTAATAATGATGCACAGAACATATCTAGAGGCTCTCTAGCCCAGTCTTCTATAGGAAATCAGGGTGTTCCGCCCTCTGACAGCTCAACCTGCATAATCCAGACAGGGTGATAGCCACATTGGTCAGTAGAGCTACTCCAGAAAGAACTCATTTTCAGCCAGCCATCCAAATGGGTGGAACAAATACACTTTAAGAGAACAGAGGGCAAGGCTTGCTGCTTAATGTTGACATCATATAAACATGATGGTATTTGGGTTGTGTTAGGATTACTGGTTTTCTGTTATAGCATACACCATGAAAACTTTGGTCTCTGTCTCCCCTTATACTGAAGCACTAGGACAGCTCTGATCATAGAACTAGTGTCTCTTCTTTCAGGTAACTATGACTAGGTAGACAAAGCTGCTAAATGCCCAACAATTTTCGGTTGCTTCTCTCTGTCTTGGGCACAAAAGAAATGCAGTGCATTCTGGGAGATCATTTGGGAATCCACTTGTTAGCAAATGCTGGCAGTAGTAAACTGCAAACTACTGCCAAGTAAGAAAGCCCTGAAGTATTTGACCAGAATGCATTAACTGCTGTCAATCATATTTTGCCTCAGAGAAATGCACTCTATGAAAGCACCCTAAAAGGACCACAAGACACTGTATTAATGTAAACCTAATTGTTATTTTATTGCTTTAGCCTCCACATTTGGCAAAAAAAACCCCAACCTTCATAAACAAAACTACCTCTAAAATTTCTTAGGAAAAAACACACAGGCCCTTTATTTTTGATAACTGCTTTCTGGCTTCAATGACTGTAGCAAGTTCATAGGCAAAAAAGAGGCAGAAATTTGGTATCTGGAGAAGAAGAGAAAACTCCATAGCAGTTTTCATAGCAGTTAATTCTCAACAGGGAATATCAATTTGCATCCTGGAGAGAAGCTGTAGAGCAGAAGTATGGCAGCCCAGTAATAATGACTCCAGCTCTGAATAATTAAAGGTTCACTAAATTTATGGAAATAACACACACACACAAACTGGTGGTGTCTTTTTCCATGGACTCTCTGCAAGATCTCCGTGTTCTGTAGTTTCCTTTCCTCTGGAAG